GTAGTTAGTGTAGTTATTTAAATCTGTAGGTGGTGCACCTCTTCACTTGTTTCCTTTGCTATATGTACTTCGAAACTATAGTGAAGCATCATTCCTTCCCAACTCTTCTTCCAACTCACTCGATCTTCTCCCTAGGACAAAACCCGCTCGACACCTTATCTAGGGCCTAGGCTCCTAAGCCTAGGCCCTACTTTCAACTTAACTACATTCTCGTTTCTATTCTCGACATGTTATCAGAGCGACGTTCGTTCTGGCCTGTGCGCCCGCCTCACGTTTCCGCTGCTACGATTTTCCGGTCGCGCGCCTAGGGTGCGTGGCGATTTTTCCTTGTCCCGCCCCCGGTTGGCTTGTGACGCCTTCTCTGCCCGTCGCGCGCCCGTGGCACGCGACGGTGCCCTTAACCTGCCCGTCATGCGCCCCGTGGCACGCGACAGTGCCCTGCTCGTCGTGCGCCCGAGGCACACGATCGGGCCCTTTCACTTAAACTTACCCGTCGTGCGCCCCGTGGCACGCGACGGGCCTTTCCGCCCCTGCTCTCCCTGAAGCCGCCCCTGACCTATCATCGCCGACACCGTTTAGCCGCTCTGCGGCTTTCTTCCCGCCCACCCCCTCCTCCTTTTTCTCCCTGCAGCCGTGGGGAGGAGGGTATGGGGGTGGCGGGTGTTGGAGTGTTGGGTCGACTCTTTCCCTTCCCCTCCTCCTCCTTTCAGTCCCACCGCTGCAGCTGCCGCTGGGGGGGAGGGTGTGAGGGTGTGGGGGAGCAGGGGGAGTGGTACCGGGGTGGCGGGTGTGAGGCAACACGCAGCCGTCCCTCCATCTCTCCTCTCTTCCCCCCTTCTTTGCTGCTCCTGCAGCAGTGTGGGGGAGGGGAAGGAGGAGGGTGAGGTGATGGAGGGGGTGACCACCTAGTGTCAGCCCGCCTGCATTACCTGCTGTTGCTTGCTTTTTATTGTTTTGCATGTGTACACCTGCAGGTTGTATTCTGCACATACTCCTGCTGCAGGCAGTTATGGGGGAGTGTCAAAACCTATATTTGTAACTGCCTGTAGCTGTAGTTAGTGTAGTTATTTAAATCTGTAGGTGGTGCACCTCTTCACTTGTTTCCTTTGCTATATGTACTTCGAAACTATAGTGAAGCATCATTCCTTCCCAACTCTTCTTCCAACTCACTCGATCTTCTCCCTACGACAAAACCCGCTCGACACCTAATCTAGGGCCTAGGCTCCTAAGCCTAGGCCCTACTTTCAACTTAACTACATTCTCGTTTCTATTCTCGACAGTCCCGTCGCCCTACCTACGGCCCGGCTCCGTCGCCCTACCTACGGCACCCCCCCCCCCCCCCCCCCCCATTTTTTCCCGTCGCCGTCGTGGGGCCAATAATGTTCTTATCTAGCCTGTAGTGGGGTGCTCTATAGCGAGTACAACCCTGTTAGGGTTTGCTATATGTATCCCAACTGCTGCTAGTCAAACCCCTCTTCTTTCTTCTAAATTTCACAGATAGTCACGATGCTCACGATGTCAAGATGCTCACGATGTCACGATGCTTACGATATTAGTAGATCGATTAGGAAAATTAGAAGCTAGATTGTTCAATGAACAATAATACTATAACTAGATTGTAAATATATTTAAATTTCTTTAGAAAATAAAAACTTTATCGCAACAGCGCAACGACGCTACTGCGCAGCGCAACAACGACGCACAGCGCAAACCGTAATTTACAAACTAGGTTGTTTCATGCGCAAGTGTGCGAGTGCGCTGTGTAAATGAGTAAGCAGGAATGAGGTGAACTATGAATGAAAGCAGTACAAATATGAAACCCTAACTGGGTTGTACCCCCTATGGGATACCCCACTACAGCCTACACAAGCAGTAAGCTATAGATATGTTCTGACACACCCCCATAGGCAAAGTGGGGGAGAACAAGGGGTCACAAGACCAGTCAAGCAAAGACAAAGCAAAGCTCAGGGTGGATCACAAAGTCACCACACAGTCCGAGCACAAGAGCAAGGCCAGAAGGCCAGTTCACATAGCAAGAGTACAGACATATATATAAAAGCTAGACAAGCAAGAGCAGGTATATATATATGTCACAGTACAAGTAAAGTCAAGAGGAGAGCAAGTGAGGCAAGACAGGCACAAGACCCAGCTGGGTGCAAAAGCGCTGATGGTCACAAGGCGCAAGTGCCTTGGTGAACACATCAGCAGTGTTGGCCTCAGAGGCCACGTACGCAAGTCGCAACTGACCACGCTGCTGCAGCTCACGAGCAAGGAAGTAGCGGAGAGCAATGTGCTTCGTTCTGTGCTCCAAGCGCTGCTCTCGACACAAGGCCAGCATAGGCCTTGTTGTCTACGTACAGCACTGGAGGAGAACGAGGCGGCTCTCCAAGGTCAGTCAGCAGGTAGGTGAGCCAGCGAAGCTCCTGTGCAGCCATGGCCCCGGCGTAGATCTCAGCCTCACAACTGGAGCCGAGAACCGAAGACGAGCGAGTAGACCGCCACGAGACAGAGCCGGAACCAAGGCTGAAGGTGTAACCCTGTGACGACCGCTGCGTAGCCTGGTCGTCAGCCCAAGAAGCGTCCGCGTGGCCGGTAAGGACCACTGGACTCCGCCCTCCAAGCACTAGCCCCATGCCCGACGTACTGCACAGGTAGCGCAATACCCTCTTCGCTGCAGCCATGTGCTCCGGTCTGTGTCTCCCCAGGAGCAACATAGCGTGCAAGAATGCTCAGAGGGTATGCAAGGTCAGGTCGTGTGCAGGTCATCAGGTACATGAGGCAGCCAACAAGCTCTGCATACGGACCACTCGACTCTACGGACTCATCCGAAGGCAGAGCTGAGAGTGAGTGGCGAGTAGGCAGAGGAGTGGCCTGAGGCGAGGAGTACGTGAAGCCGAAGCGCTGAAGGACCTGCTGCACCATGTGTGACTGAGTCAAGGTAATGGTGCGGCGTGCTCTGTCCCGAGTGATCTGCAAGCCAAGGTAGCTGCGCAGTTCACCCAGGTCTGTGCACGTGTGTCTCTTCAGCAGCTCGGACTTCACGTAGGCGAGTCCAGCAGTGTCCGCTGTGGCAAAGACCAAGTCGTCGACGTACACGAGGATGTAGAACGGCGGCAGGGAAGTGTCGGTGCGAAGAAACAGCGACGGGTCAGCAGTAGAAGGAGCAAACCCAAGAGCCGCAAGCGTAGTCCTCAGTGTGTCGTGCCACTCACGCGGTGCCTGGCGGAGACCGTAGACTGGCCGTCGGAGGCTCCACTGGGTGCCAGGAGGGAAAGTCCCAGTGAAGCCAGGTGGACGGCGCAGCCAGATCTCCTCGTGCAGGCTACCCTGCAAGAACGCAGTGCTGAAGTCGAGAGAGTGAAGCTCGTAGTCGCGCTGAGCGGCTATGTGCAGCAGCACCCGAAGAGTAGGTCATCTTCGGGGTGGGAGAGAAGGTCTGAAAGTAGTCAACTCCCTGCCGCTGACTGAAGCCACGAGCAACGTACCGTGCCTTGAAGACAGGTGGAGAGCCCGGCGGCCGCTTCACCCTGAAGATCCACATGCCACTGACGATGTTCGCCCCAGGAGGGGGAACCGCGTCAACGTAGGTGCCTGTGGACTTCCAGGAAGCCATCTCTGCATCCATAGCTGCCTGCCACTGAGAGGAGTAGGGACCCTCTACGGCCTCCGCGTAAGAACGCGGAGTCGGGATGTCTAGTGCATCCGGGTCTCCCTCAGGGGCAAGCAGTACAGACGCGAGATGAGGTGAAGCAGCCGCTAGACACTGTAACTCCTCCTGCCTGTCCTCTAGGACGTCCGTGCCAAGAGCACACTCACCCCCGACGGACGGAGGACAGACAGACGCAGACTCAGCAACAAGACTAGCAGCGTAGTCGAGACGACAGCGAGCAGCAAAGTCGACGAGCTCAGCGACTAGAGCAGACGCAGCAGTGGACTCAAAAGAGGGGTCAGTGACGACAGTAGCAAGCAGACGCGTGACAGTAGGACTGGCAGCGACGAAGAGAGTCCGACTCAGGGTCGGCAAGCGCAGGAAGAGAGGACTCAGGAGGAGAAGGCAAAGGGGCACGCAGAGGAGCAGTGGACGGACGCAGAAGACATCCGGTGCGTGCCAGGGACAGGAGGAGGACGCTGACGCGAACTGCGACCACTAGCGCGAGCAGCACGAACAGGCGACGCGGGACGAGACGCAGGCTCACGACGCTCAGCAAGACCTCCAGTAGGACCAGTGTAAGGAGAGGGAGCAGGCAAGTGGAGAGGAAGGCTCCAGTAGGGACTGCGACTGGACAGGCGGTGGACCCTCTACCTGGAGGAGAAAGACCAAGAACCTGCTGATAGGAGCGGAACGAATTACGGCCGAGGCCGCGCGGGGGGCAGCTCCAGACTCAGCAGGGACAGCACCAGCACCCTCAGCGACAGCACCAGCGCCACCCCACACCTCCAGCGGCAGGACCAACAGCAGCAGGCTCAGCACGCAACGCCCTCAGCAGCTCCAGCTCCAGGAGGACCCTGCAGGGTCCAGCAGCTCCGGGACCGGCATGCACCCGCACCCTCGACGGTCGAAGAAGCTCCAGCTTCCAGCTCCAGCAGCACCTCCAGACTCAGCAGCACGCCTCCAGCGGCGAGGCGAAACCACTCGCGCAGCTCCTGTGGAGAGAGGGGCTCCCGGCGAGACGCTAGCAGCAGGAGAAACCCCAGGCGCAGCAGCTCCAGACGCAGCACCCCCAGGCTCAGCAGCTCCCAGCTCAGCACCCCCAGGCCTCAGCAGCTCCCGACCCAGCACCCCCAGACCCAGCACCTCCAGGCACAGCACCCCCCGGCTCAGCACCCCCAGGCTTCCGCACCCTCCGCAGTAGCACCCTCAGGCCCAGCACCCCCAGCAGTAGCACCCCGCAGGCTACAGCACCCCCGCGCACAGCACCCCACAGAGTCAGCAACCCCAGGCTCAGCAACCCGCAGCAGGCACCAGGAGTCACCAGTAACCTCGACCGGGTCAACGGCGTCTACCTTGGACACACCTGAGGGGGCAGGAACCTGAGGGGGGAGGGGTCTACCGGGGGGGAACCGGCACAAGGAAGTCCGGGGGAGGGGGGAGGGAAGGGAGTGCGGTAGGTGAAGAGACGGTAGAAGGGGACTGACTCGTCGAACGTGACGTCCTGGGAGGACAGAACACGACGAGAGGAGGGGTGGTAAAACTGCCACCCTGGGGCGTCAGTGGGGAAGCCAAGAAGAAGACACAGGTGAGCAGCACGAGGGGACAGCTTGTCCGCAGACAAAGTCGCGGACAAACGCCCGAGATCCCCAGACACGGAACACAGACGCATCGCCAACCTTCCCCTGTCCACAGCAAGGCTGGGGACATCGCAGGCCGAGAGACCCGGGGGGTGAAGGTTGAGCTGATGCGCCGCGTACCTCACCGCAAACGGCCACAGAAAATGGGGGGCAGCCGCATGCATCATGGACGTACGAGCGACATCCATGACCATGCCAATGCGGCGCTCAGCAATCCCATTTTGCTGTGGTGAGTCCGGAAGCGTGAAGGTCTGGCGGATCCCCCTGTGCACGACAGTAGTCTCGCAGAAGGCGAGAAGAGAACTCTCCGCCTCTGTCAGAGTGCAGACGCAGAACAGGAAAGTCCGAGCCGAAGCTCCTCCTGAGCTGGAGACGAGCCTCGCGGATCCAGTCGATCAGCACCTCAGTGACAGCACCCTTGCTGCGCAAGGGGAAGACTGTGGTGTAACGCGAGTAGTCGTCAACCACCAACAGGAAGTAGCGCTCGTAACCCCTGCCCACGGACGGGGGCTGGGCCCCACACATCCATGTGAAGCGTCTGCAGGGGAGCCTCTGTCGGGGGGAAGTGGGAGGAGTGAGGAGTAGCCCGGAGGCGACCCTCGACACAGGGGACACAGGAAGGTCCTGGCCCGAAGGGAAGGGGAGGGAGAGACTGGGGAAGACCAGAGACAAGGACACGGGAAGCCATGCTCCGAAGACGGGGCAAGGAGGGGTGGCCTAAGACGGTGGTGCCACAGAAGAGTCTCGTGAGACAGGAGGCGACAAGAACAGGGGGCAGACTCAGGACCATGACCGGGACGCAGCAAGCAAGACACCTGAACCCGACGCATGCTACCCTGACCTAGGACGCAGGGACAGGAGGAGACTCAAGTGGTCAGGGTGTAGAGGACTCGACCCCGGCCGACGCGAGAACGTGGCCAGGTGTCCGGCCTGTGCGAGCCGTCCGTGCAGTGGGTCACCCGCTGACTCGCAGGAGTGAACTGGTGAACCCCCGCATCCTGTAGGTCTGCATCCACTCACCAAGTTCGTCAGAGAACGAGGGAGGTACAGGACCCGACAGGGTGCCCGAAGGGGGCAGCCGGACACGGGAGGACAGTGGAGAGTGAGCGAGGACAGGACCCCCAGAGGGGTCAGCAAGGGAGACCGCAACCGGCCTGGCCGAGCGGCGAAAGGGTAGTGCGGTCTCGAAAGAAGGAGCGAGAAGCTCCGGAGTCAAGTGTGAAAGTGAGGGAGGACGAGGACGACGCAGTACCTGAGAGCGCAGTCTCACCAGTACCTGAGAGCGCAGACGCACTGGCACCTAGAGCAGCAGCCTCACAAGCACCTAGCGCAGCAGTACCAATGCCCGGGTCGGGCTGGAAACAACGGTAACCCTCATTCTCCTCACTATAATCCACAACATACATAGCAGTAAGGATAGCATCAAAATCAAGATCAAAGATCGCTACACCAGCCCTGAGAAGCTCATCCCAGCGAGGGATCTCACTAGCCCCAGGGAACTGCTGACGCCAAGCGTCCGTCAGGCGGCCAAAGCAGCGCTGGGTGGCGTGGGCACCCCCACACTGCTCACACCGCTCGGGTCGCCGGAACGAAGAACGTAGGTGCAGGGACCAGTACCCCCACCCCTCTGACGCCCAGCGTACCACTCACGAAGCTGCTGAGGCGAAGGGATGTCCCGTGAGCGCTGCTGCTGCTGCCGGTGCGAGCGCTGGCCACCACCACCGCCGCTACGCTGCTGGGTACCACCCCGACCAGCTCCACCTCCTCCACCACTACCGCCTCCGCCGCCGCCGCCTCCACTGCCTCCACCTCCGCCGCCTCCACCTCCGCCGCTGCCTCCACCACCACCGCTGGCACCACCACCACCGTCTCCGCCGCTGCTGCCACCACCACCACCACCACCACCCCCGCCACTAGTCCCGCCGCCACCCCCACTCCCTCCGCCGCCACCGCCGCCACCGCCACCGCCCCCCCCAGCTCCACCCCGCGCCCTTGCCTCCCTTGCCCTTGCTGGAGCGACGTCTCCCACTAGGGACAGACGCCGCGCCGACGACTCAAGACCAAGCAGGTCGTCAGGCAGCAGCAGCAGAGGCAACAGAGGGCAGCAAGGGGGAAGGAGAGCACCCCTCAAAGATGGGGGTGCGAGGGTCACCACGAGAAGCACCTACAGCGACTATGCTCTTCTCCGCTGCAAGGGAGGGCCTTCTCGAGGAGGTCGACGGTGAGAGTGGTGGGACAGACTGCGAGAAAGTGGTCCCATGACGACGCGAAGGGAGTCAGGGAGGCGGCGCGACTACGTAGTAGAGAGCGATGTACATGGGGGGGGGTTCTTAGCGCAGAACTCAGCAGGAAGGGCGGCGCGGTAGCGAGTGTCACTAGTGCGGAGGTGCGTAATGAGGTCAGCGACAGTGGGAAAGGCAGAGAGGTCAGGAAAGAGGGTAGGGAAGCATGAGACGGCTCAGTGCAGCAGTGGCAGGGGAGGAGTAGCGCGCAACTACTAGCGTCGTACAAGGTCTGAGCACTCTTGTACTGACTAAAGTGCCGCACGCTCAGAGGTAGGGAGGTGGCGACGCACAGCAAGACGTGCAGCAGCATCGCGGGTGGCCCACTTAGAGCGGACAGCGGGATCAGTCATCAGTAGCGAGGAGCAGATAGGCGCCAGAGGTGAGGTCAAAGAGAGAAAGGGTCGTCAGCCCCTGTCGCACTGTAAGAACAGCTGCAGGTCGTCTAGCCAGACCTCAAAATCAATGGGCGCGACCCTCAGCGTCAAAAGCTAGGACACTAGGGTAGCCATGGACGACGACGTGAAGCAGTGCAAGCAGAGTAGGGAGGAGAGAGCATCCCAGTGACAGTGGGACTGTGCTCCACCAGGCAGGGCAGGTCGCGCAGCTCGACAGAAAAGCAGAACGGCGACAGGGCGGCTCGTGTGTACAGCGGATCGGCTCCCGGGCGGCACGACGGCAGGGCGGCTCGGGTGCAGGGCGGCTCGGCTCCCGGGCGGCTCGGCTGCAGGGCGGCTCGGGTGCAGGGCGGCTCGGCTCCCGGGCGGCTCGGCTGCAGGGCGGCTCGGGTCCCGGGCTGCTCGGCGACAGGCGGCTCAGGTCGCGTAGAAGCGAGACGGGGCGGGGCCGCGTCAGGGCCGGCGGTAGGGCCGCGTAGGAGCCGGGGCAGGGCCGCGAAGGAGCCGGGGCGGGGCCGTGATAGGAGCGGGGGGGGCCGAGTAGGAGCCAGCTGCGGGGCCGCGTGGGAGCCGGCGCAGGGCCGCGTAGGAGCCGGCGGCGTGGCCGCGTCAGGGCCGCGTAAGGGGGGGGGGGCCGGCGCGGGGCCGCGTAAGAGCCGCGTAGGAGCCGGCGCGGAGCCGCGTGGGGGGCCGGGGACGGGCCGCGTAAGGAGCCGGCGCGGGGCCGCGTAGGAGCTGGCGGCGTGGCCGCGTAAGGGCCGCGTAAGGGCCGCGTAAGGGCCGCGTAAGGGGCCGGCGCGGGGCCGCGTAAGGAGCCGGCGGTGTGGCCGCGTAAGGGCCGCGTAAGGGCCGCGTAAGGGGCCGGCGCGGGGCCGCGTAAGGGCCGCGTAGGAGGCGACGCGGGCCGCGTAAGGGCCGGAGCGGGGCCGCGTAAGGAGCAGGCGGCGGGGCCGCGTAAGGAGCAGGGCGGGGCCGCGACAGAGTGGGCGGCGAGGCCGCAGGGGAGAGGGCGACTAGAGGGGTCGCTAAAAAAAAAAATCGCGCCTCGGGGGCGCGCTTCGGTTGGCCAAAAAAAAAAATTTCGGTCCTGGAGGGACCTAGCTCTATACCATGTGTAAATGAGTAAGCAGGAATGAGGTGAACTATGAATGAAAGCAGTACAAATATGAAACCCTAACTGGGTTGTACCCCCTATGGGATACCCCACTACAGCCTACACAGCAGTATAAGCTATAGATATGTTCTGACATGCGCGACTGCGTAACTGCGCGAGAGCGAGACTGCGCGAGTGCAGTGCGCGACTGCGCGGAGCGTGAGAGCGCGAATGCTCGAGAGCGCGAGTGCACGAGAGCACGAGTGCGCAAGTGCGCGACAGCGTGAGTGCTAGTGCGCGATTACGAGACTGCGCGAGAGCGCGAGTGCACGAGTGCGCGACTACACGACAGCGCGAGTGCGCGAGTGCACGACAGCGCGAGTTCGCGACAGCGGGAGTGCGGGACTGCGCGACTGCGCGGAGCGCGAGTGCTCGAGAGCGCGAGTGCGCGACATCGCGACTGCGCGACAGCGCGAGAGTGCGCGACACCGCGAGTGCGCGACAGCGCGAGTGCGCGACAGCGCGCACTGCGCAACGCTATAACCGCAAGGTATCGTTTCCTAGACACGATCTTTGTGCCTTGTCACAATGAGTTTGAATATGCTTATAGAACATTATTGAACAATCTAGTACTTCAATTACAGGTTTAAATAATGTTGATGGATTTTTCAGATTGTGTAAATTTATAGAAATTTGTTTGATTTTAGTTTATACTACATGCACTTCCTACGTTTAAGTTTATTGATTTTATTCATTTTCTTATCTTGCTCACAATGCTCACGATGTCATGATGCTCCCGATGTCACGATGCTCACGATGTCACGATGCTCACGATGCTCACGATGTCACGATGCTCACGATCTCACGATGCCCACGATGTCACGATGCTTACGTTGTCAGGATAATCACGATGTCACGATGCTCACCTTGTCACGATGCTCACGATGTCACGATGCTCTCGATAGTCACGATGCTCACGATGTCACGATGCTTACGATATTTAAAGGTTGATTAGGAAAATTAGAATCTAGATTGTTCAATGAACAATAATACTATAACTAGATTGTTCTAATAGTTTAAATATATTATATTTTCTTCAGAAAATTAAATAAAAACGCAACACCGCAACAACACTACTAAGCAACGCAGCAACGACGCACGGCACAAACCGTAATTTACAAACTATATTGTTTCATGCGCGAGTGTGCGAATGCGCGACTGCGTGACTGCGCGAGTGCAAGACTGCGCGATTGCGCGACTACGCGGAGCGCGAGAGTGCGAGTGCTCGAGAGCGAGAAGTGCGCGAGAGCACTGTCAGATTATAATGCATGTCTAGTCTATAGTGGGGTACTCAAAAGTGAGTATAACCCTTTTAGGGCTTACTACATGTATCCCCCTCCTTTCTAGTTCCACCATTCTTCTTCCACAATTCTCTCGACATTACTTACACCCTACACCCTCGAACTTCACTAAGTCACCTAAACTACTATGGCTCCTAAGCCAAACTCTCGCTAGTTTCTAAACAAGCACGAGTGCGCGAGCACGCGAGAGTGTGAGTGAGCTATAGCGCGAGTGCGCGGCGACGAAACTGCGCGAGTGTGCGACAGCGCGAGTGCGCAACTGCGCAAGCGCGCGACAGCGCATGTGCATGAGCACGCAAGTGCGCGACTGCGCGAGTGCGCAAATGCGCGAGTGCGGGACTACGCGAGTGCGCGACTGCGCAGAGCGCGAGTGCTCGAGAGCGCAAGTGCGCGAATGCACGAATGCGCAAGCGCGCGACAGCGTGAGTGCACGACAGCGTGAGTGCGCAAATGCGCGACTGCGCGAGTGCGCGATAGCGCGAGTTCCCTAGTGCGCGACAGCGCGAGTTCGCGACAGCGGAGCGCGCGACAGCGCGAGTGCGCGACAGCGCGAGAGTGCGCGACAGCGCGAGTGTGCGCGACAGCGCGAGCGTGCGCGACAGCGCAAGTGCGCGATAGCGCGAGTGCGCGACAGCGCGAGTGTCCAACAGCGCAAGTGCGCGACAGTGCGAGTGCAGGACTGCTCGACAGCGCGAGTTTGGGAGTGCGCGACAGCGCGCACGGCGCAACGCTATAACCGCACGGTGGTTTCCTAGACACGATCTTTGTGCCTTGTCACGATGTGTTTGAATATGCTTATAGAATATTATTGAACAATCAAGTTTCTAAATTACAGGTTTAAATAATTATGATGGATCTTTTCAGATTGTGTAAATTTATAGAAAGTTGTTTGATGACTACATACACTTTCTCTGTTTAAGTTTATTGATTTTATTCATTTTCTTATCTTGCTCACGATGCTCACGATGTCACGATGCTCACGAGGTCACGATGCTCATGATGTCACGATGCTCACGATGCTCACGATATCACGATGCTCACGATGTCACGCTGCCCACGATGTCACGATACTTACGTTGTCATGATGCTCTTGATGTCATGATGCTCACCTTGTCACGATGCTAACGATGTCACGATGCTCTCGATAGTCACGATGCTCACGATGTCACGATGCTCACGGTGTCACGATGCTCACAATGTCACGATGCTCACGATATTAGTAGATTGATTCGGAAAATTAGAAGCTAGATTGTTCAATGAACAATAATACTATAACTAGATTAATCTAATTGTTGTAAATATATTTTAATTTCTTCAGAAAATAATATATAGATCGCAACAGCGCAACGACGCTACTGCGCAACGTAGCAACGACGCACGGCGCAAACCGTAATTTACAAACTAGATTGTTTCATGCGCGAGTGTGCAAGTGCGCGACTGCGTGACTGGCGGCGCGAGCGAGACTGCGCGATTGCGCAATTGCGCGGAGCGCGAGAGCGCGAGTGCTCGAGAGCGCGAGTGCGTGCGCGAGCACGAGTGTGTGACAGTGTGAATGAGCTATAGCGCGAGTACGAGACTACGAAAGTGCGCGAGTGGGCGACAGCACGAGTGCGCAAGCGCGCGACAGCGCATGTACACGAGCACGCAAGTGCGCGATTTCAGTAGATCTGCACTGTGGATGCCCGATTGATCCCGGAGAGGGTTACAGGCGCGTTCGCCTGGGGGGTTATGGACGCACTGACCCGCTACTGAAACAAGCCCTTTTATCCCAATGGTCTAGTGGTGGGATTTTGACATGGTATCAGAGCGGTCTCGGGTTCGATTCCCGGTGTATGCACATGTAGGCCGTTGCCGCTGTGCTTAGTCCTGGGCCTCCCAGTGTGGGGGGGTTTCAGTAG